TGGGTCCAGTTCAGCCATTGGCCAGGCTGCCAGGGGGTGCTCTCCCCAGAGTGAGTGCCCCTGCAGGCCCTGCCGGCGAGTGTTTCCTGCAGGTGCTCCCATCTCGGGCAGACCCCTGACCAGGGGTGCCTCCCCCACCAGCCCAGGGCTCTTCCCACCGGGAGGACCTAGCCAAGCCTAGCCCGGGCACAACCAGGGGGTAGCCGCTGCTCGTCTCCCTCCTGCTGCCCTGTGGTCCACTGGGACCCTCAGGGGTGCAGGCCTGCCCTGGATGTGCCCTCTTCTCATCTCTTCTGCCCTCCTCCCCTGGGTTTTCCCTAACCCTCTCCCAGGTCCCTAGGCTGTCCCCTCTGCTCCCGTCCCACTGCCCTCTTCCTGGCTTCAGGAGACCCTCAGGCCTCGCTCTCTGTTTAGCCACGGAGCACACGTCCGACAGCGTCCCGGACGCTGCCCTCTGGTACCCACTGGAAGCTCGGGAACTGCAGGTTCACTTGAGCTGACCCCTACTCCTACCCTACCTCTCCTCTTCTTGGAGCCAGCGCCTGTCCAGGCCCAGGCTGGGGACTTTGATGTGAGTGATGGTGACGATGGTGACGTTGGTGCTGGTGGTGAAGGGGTTCATGCTGAGCTGAGTGGCGGAGGGGGGGGAGAAGGGGCGATGGTGGCTGGGTGACAGACTGAGGTCTGTGACAGGAGGGTGGTGGTGGGCTGAGGCTCTTGATGAGGAGAGGAGAGCTGAGGGCCGGGGGCAGGGGTGGCGGTGCCAGCGGGCAGCCAGAGCACTGTGTGCAGCCACCGCTGGGCAGATGGGGAAGGAGCTGCAGGAGCAGGTGGGCTGGGCTGGGGCCTCCTGTCTGACCCCATGCCCAGTCCAGGTCAGCAGGGTGGTGCTGCCATCCAGGGGTTGTGGCCTGCTCCTCTGGAACCCATTGGGGGTGGCTGGTGACATCCCTGAGTCCTGAGTGCCACGTGGAGGTTCGGGATGGCCTTCCTGAGTTTTCTCTGGACCAATGGGCTGGGCTGGTGTCCTTTGCTCTCTGGGCAGGGACAAGGACTCCTTCCCCCTTGTCCCTCTGAGGGAGCCAAGCCCCAGGTCTCCTCTGCCCCCAGGGGCCCCCCTGCAGACGAGCTTGGGAGGTCCCGGGAGTGCAGTCTACCTGGGGCGGCCCGGGAGGGTCCTGCCCTGCCCCCACTGCCACTGGCCAGGCCAGTGAGGCCCAGAATCCCACTTCTTCTCCCAGGGGGAGCCAGAGGGGCAGGGAGTGGGAGCCTGCCATTCAGGGAGGTCACCATTGGCTTCCTCATCCTCCCCCGGGTGCTAGGAAGCGGAGGCAGCACCCAGACTCTCAGTCTCAGAAAGCACTACCTTCTCTCCAGCGGCCTGAGCTGAGTGTCCCCGGCACTGGCCTGGAGACTGAGCGCTCCTCCACCCCTCCACCCTCTCCTCCCTCCCCC